CCAAGTGTCAGCTGTTCGACCGAGATTGAGGGGGTGAATGATAAGATATCAACTAACTCCTGTAGCTTTAGTGGAGTTTTTATTCATCTTCCACACCACAACAACACGTAACAGCGATCAAATTATGTTTAAAATCAACTCTGGGTTTCGTTGCAACTCAGAGCTGTATTTATACATGTTATACTTTGGATAACAACATAATTACTATAACCACCTTCCGTCTGGCTTCACTGCCTAACATCAGGCATCCTTAAATTAAAGAAACATGGTAACTGCACCTTTCCCCTGCTCGACGAGTCCATGTACTCTCATTTATTTCTTATCATTATTACAACATCACCCCCTTGACATTCAGCCATGAATCATTATTATTACACCACTCCTTGTCAGGAAGCCGATGTAAGTTATTTGACGAATATTCATTATAGCGTCCACATGGCAACACTAGATAAGTGAAAGAATATGGTTGTATCACATCCTGGCTGTCTCGGCTCCAGTCCGTTCTTTATTGGAGTCGTGACAGGGCAGCCCCCTCTACCAAGATTCTGCCTAGAATACAAGAACACATTAGACAAAAGGGATAATGGTGTATAGAGGTTATACATCGGCCCCTGGCTTATCGGGATGTCGGCTGTGGAATTTTTTCTTCAATCTATCTGCACACATATCCAACTCATTCACCCAGGATGCCTCTGATTCAGGATACCCTTTCCATCGTACAAGGTATTGAATAGTATGTCTTCGTATTCTAGAATCTAGTATTCTATCTATTTCAAATTGTTCTGGTTCTCTATATACTGGTTTCATAGGTATCTCGTCATTTCTAGGGATACTTGTTTTAAGTAAATTTGCATGAAAAACGGGATGAATCCGACCTAGCCATGACGGTAATTTGAGTTTAACTGTCACAGGGTTAATTACTCTTACTATATCAAAAGGGCCTAAATATTTTGGACCCAGTTTTCGGCTGTTCAATTTTAATTTGATATATTTGGTAGAAAGATACACTTGATCTCCCACCTGGAAGGGTTTAATATCCTTCCGTTTTTTGTTCGTTTGAAGTTTATATTCTCTGGAAGCTTTTTCTAATGTTTTTTGTAGGTTATTCCAACATCCTTGTATTTTTTCTACCCATTCTTTAACACCAGGTGGCTCTTCCTCTTGACAGATGAATTCCGAACTTGGGCTGAATTCCATACCATGTACTATATAAAATGGACTATACCCGGTACTGCTATGCAGGGCGTTGTTGTAAGCAATTTTAGCAAACGATAATAAATCTACCCATTCTCTTTGTTGATGTGAGATATATGATCTGAAATATCATTCGGCCATGGAAATTTTCTCTTTCTGTGGCTCCGTTTGTACTCGGGTGGTATGCCGAGCTGAGTCCTTGAGAAGACCCCATCAAAGCGAGGAACGTCCTCCAAAATCATGCCGTGAACTGCACCCCCCTATCAGATATTATTCTTCTGGGCACCCTGTGTAATCTATACACTTGTGTCACAAACATATCTGCCAATCGTTCTGCAGATGGTAGGCCTTTACAGGGGACAAAATGCGCCTGTTTTGAAAATAAGTCAATTATGGTCCATATTACCGTGTATCCCTTGCTGTTTGGCAATTCAACAATAAAATCCATGGCTATATCTTGCCATGGACGTGTTGGCTCTGATACTGTCTGCAATAGTCCCATTGGTTTGCCTACTCTAGGCTTAGATGTTGCGCATACATGGCATGTCTTTACATACTGTTTGACATCAACCCTCATTTTGGGCCACCAAAACTGACGGTGGGTTAGATGTAATGTCTTTAAAAATCTGAAATGTCCTGCCTGTTTTACATCATGACAATTTGTAAGTATTTTGTCTCTACTTGGCTGGCACGTACACTTTATTCCCTCTCCAAGCTATGCCATCTTTCAATGAACACAAATGGGATTTTTTTTTTCAGCCATGCATCTTGTGTAGTAGCGTTTCATATTGTGTCATAGGTTGTTTCCTTTAAACGAGTCACTTGACCAACATTTTTAGATGAGTTATCAACAATTAGGGGTTGAATAATAATATCAATATGTTGATTGATATTGGGGCAACCGGGACAAGGCATCCGCCATGAAATTTTGTCCTTTCGGTACATACTTTAATTTGAAATTAAATTGATTAAAGTACAGAGCCCACCTGATCTGCTTAGGAGACAATCATCTTGGTTTTTGTAATGCTTCCAAATTTCAGTGATCTGTCCACACTTCAGAAACCTCCTGTGCTCCTTCCAGGAAATGCCTCCAAGTACTCAGTACCCATTTTATGGCAAAAGACTCCTCCCATATCGCCCAGCCTCTCTCTGTAGTAGTAAACTTCCACGATGTA